TCAGTGATGAATCCAATTTTGAGGTCATAAATTGCAAAGACAAGTTTAAGTCAAAAGAAAGAAATGGTAGAAGTATGACATGCACATGGTATCACCAATAATACAAAGAGGAGGAGGGTTGGCAGGAGTCTGGGGTTGCATCTCTCATAAAGTTATTGGTCTCTGCAATACGTACACCGGTCGGATTAATCAATATAACTACAAAACAACTCTGGAGCAGAGTTTAATTCCATCAGCCCGTGAATTTTTCGGACGCAAATGGATTTTTCAGCAAGATGGGGCTCCTGAACACACTGCCAAGTCAATAAAAGCCTGGTTTTCAGAGAAGAAGATCCAAGTGATGCCCTGGCCCGCCCAAATTAATGCGCACCAAGCTAACTTCGGTTGAGCACTTAAAGCACTTATAGAAGAGACATGGAAGAGTATTCCAAAAGAGTTCTGCATGAAATTGATTGAGTCTATGCCTAGGAGAGTTCTTTCATGTATAAAAGCCCGAGGTGGTCATTTTAAATATTGAAATTTGAATTTTTTTGAAATGTGCTATATTTAACTGATTTTTTTTGCTATCCTTATTTTTTATGTCTATTTGCTTTCTTTCATTTTTTTTATTTTTTATATTTTTTTGCGATTTTTTTTTACTTAAATTATAAAACATACCTTATTTAATAAAATAAAAAAAAAATAATTGAAAAATCTTAATCCGCTTAATTTCTATTCAAGTTTTTCTGTCGAGTATTGAAAAAAAATGTAAGCGGTTCTAAATTTTACTGAAACACTGTGTGTGTGTATATATATATATATATATATATATATATATATATATATATATATATATATATATATATATATATATATATATATATATGTATATATATTATTGAAAAAAAATGTAAGCGGTTCTAAATTTTACTAAAACACTGCGTGTATATATATATATATATATATATATATATATATATATATATATATAACTAAAATCTCCCAACCCATAATTAGACAGCTTTGTACTAAAAACTGAACAATAACTCATATTAAAAAAATTCTAGAAAACTATTACCCTTTCTCCATTCAGTTCAATTTCTTTTTCCAGTTTATCTTCTGAAAACTCAACCTGCAGTGTTGTTAATGTTTTCTGATTCCCAGAGACTGAATGAAATGCACTTTTAATTTCCTCTGCCCATGAAATACCAATACGAGTTCCTTTACCACTTTTGGGATCATTTGGAAAAACTGCGCCGTTTGGATCATAATGATCTCTTTCACCACAATAATATATTTCCGTTCTTGTTTTAAGTACAAATAAATAGTCCCCACCTTGATTAGATCTCATGGATTCCATATTTGAATCAACAGCTAATATTTCAGACAGCAAAATTTCCTAAGACCAATCCTAACAACTTAAACTCTATTTATAAAACCTGACAGTATATCAGTTTTTATAATAAAAAAATATAATAGTTTCTATACCTTGACAAATTCTGTAGTAGATTCAGACACATAAAAACAAAGACTTTTTGTATCCAATCGCCAATAGTGAACATTTTTCTAAAAAAATTTTTTTTAATTTTCAATTAAAAGTTTATAATACATCAGAATAATCCTTTTTTATAAATGACAATTCTGCTATTTATATATTTTATTCTAGTCTTAATCTTCAACAAGAAAACTAAAAATTGTCTAAATGAAAAATTTCAATCTGTTCTGAGGGAGATACAGGGAGTAAGGATTCTGAAGGAGATGAGAGCTTCTGAAATTTAATAAAATAATAAATGAAGACAAAATGAGTGTGTTAAATTCTGAGAATGTAAAAAACAACTAGAACAATAGGACAAAAACAAAGCAATAGGCAGCGATATGGTGAGTCTATATGTATTTAAGCAATGTGCATCAACACTCTTGAAACATAATCCTTTTGTTTAAAAAGGGCAACTCATATGTAGCATTAAACTTACTGACCATTTGCAACTACATGATGCTCTATCGCTACAGCAGCATGGTTTTGTGTCGAGGATGGCTTGTGTTACCAAGTAACTAAAAACTATGGATTTTTTGATAACGTACATGGAGAGTGAGTGTCCAACTGACATGATATACCTCAAACTCAGCAAAGCCTTTAAAAAGATACCACACAAAAAGATATTATTCAAATGTGAAGCATATGGGATATCCAGTGTTTTGTTGAGATAGATAGAAGTTTTTTTAACGAATTAATCAAATGGGCAAGTTAATGGAGTTAAACAAAAAAAAGTGCAAGGTTATGCACACTGGCAAAAAAAAACCTCAAACCGTCTATACAATGACAAAAAATGGTGTTAAATACAAACTAGGCAAAACAACAGTAGAACGTGATCTCAACATGTTTATCTCATCAGACATCAAATGGCATCATCAAGTTAATGCAGCAGCAGCAAATGCGCAGAATATACTCAGAGTCATCAAGCCTACCTTCACTCATCTAAATATAGAAATGATATGTACTCTGTACACAGTGCTAGTTAAACTTTACCTTGAGTTTGCAATCCTTGTATGGAACCCTACTTTGATAGGTGACATTAAAACACTAGAATAACCAACTGGAATAAAATCTCAAACATTTGTGTTATGAGGAACAACTTTCCAAAATGAAATTGACTACATTAGACTAGATGTTTGCGCGGTGATCTCATAAAAGAGAACAAATTATTGCAAAATAAAAATCATATTACATGGTTTAAACCACAACAATTTGCACCATCATTATGAGCTAACAGACCAGCATTAGCAGTAAGAGGTCGTAATCTAAGAATTGAAAAAAAAATGTTGAGCAATCTTCACCTCGGTAAGCATTTTTCTGTAACTGTATTGTAAATGAATGGAATGCATTACCAATTCACATGGTGAATGTGTGGTCTTTGAACTCTTTTAAAGCAAGAATTGATAGATTTTTATTATAAATTTTGTGAAATTTATTTAATTCTAGTTTTTTTATGTATAATTTGATTTTTAATTAAATTGTAAATTATTATAAATAAAATAAAAAGTAGTGTAGGATGTCATAATACATATATAACCATATATCTGTTTTGCAATTCAACTCACCACAACATCTATTTATCTGATAACAAAAATATACTAAACAGTCACATACAGCAAAATAAATACAAAAGCAAAAAAATCAATTAGATATTATAAAATACATATAATAACACATTATACAAACAAAAATTTTAAAAATAGTAAAAAAGAATTTAAATTGAATTTAATTATGCATATTTAATCCTTACTACTTGATCAGACTCTGTGTAATGAATCATCCATGCAGATTTTAGGATTTTAGATCCTCTTGTTTTTCTGTGACCCACAGACATGGCTATACGCTGTAATGGTATTTGAATGCTAGAGGTTTCTGTGAGTTCTATTTTAACAATACTTTCTTCTTCATCAGGTTCAGTGTTATGATCATTGTCAGTTATGTCGGCATCATTGTTTACTGGTGGGTTTTCTGAAACAAGCAGAAATATCAATTTTTCTTTTTATTGGATTTAATTGCAAACAAACTTCAATTCCAAAAGATAAACATAACTAAAAAATTAAAAATGCTCGCTTTGTAAACAAGAAGCTCCTAGATTCTCAGCATGCCCTTGGTGGTAGCATTTGTTTTTCCCCATAACAGCCTTGGTTGTCAAGGCTCCAACAACAACAAAGACTAATTGCCTTCTCAACTGTAGGGGGCCCCAAGGAAAATACAGTAATAGAAAAAATATATTTCAGTTAAACACTAGCCACTGACAACTATACAAAAAAAAACTTTATATACCTTTTTCATTTATATCTCCCAAACAGTTTCTTGGGGCATTTTCAAGACACTTTTTATCACGATGGCAATTAAATTTACAGTCTGGTTGAAATACAAAACAATCAGCATAAATTAAAACAACCAAAAAAAAAAGTGCAATAATATACTATAAAAACCATAACTTATTGTTTGAAAATTACTTAAAAAGAGGTCTTTAAATTAAAACTATATATTATGAAAGAATTTTTTAAGTATAATTAACAAAAAATTTATTTGATTTATCAGTAATGGAATTTTTTTAACTAATTTTGAGCATATTAAAAGTAATTTAAAAAATCAATATTATTAACTGAAATACCTTTACACTGATAACCTTGCCTGAACAGTCCTTTTAACTAAAAACCAAATGTTAAAAATTAAAGATATTCTATTATATTAAAGACTATTACTACTTTGAAATTATATTTAAAGTTTGTTTTTCCTTATATTTTCTTGCCTGGTTGTCCGAAGCTTTTCCCACAAAAAAACAACAACAAATAAATCAATTATAAAAGTTAGAAATGACTGAAATAAACATGAAAAACTTAAAAAAGACCTTTCAATAAATTCATAGACTGCCCAAAACAAAACCCCTAGTATGCAGTAAGTTGATTTTATAATTTAAACTTGCTATATCCCTAGACATTTGAAAATTTTTGTCTAGAATTAGAAACAGCCAAATGTTTTCTTACAAGTTAATCCAAATTTGTTACAATTGTTCAAAACAGTCAACCTTTTTATAAAAATGTAACAAAAAAGCTTTTCATTATAAATATAACAATAAAACAATAGTTTTTAACAGTGCTTTTTATCTAGAAAAAAAGGTGCCAGAACTCACCTGTATTTTTACCAAAGATTTTTTAAAGTGTTTTTTTTTTTTTAAACATGTTCACTTTCAACAAGGCTGCAAGCAACCACTATTAGTGTTAGAAGTTACTAAAAGAAAAAAGATGAAGTTTATAAAGCAAGATAATGATAAACAGACAACTTAAATGAATCAGGAAAACAAGATGTAGGGAGCGAATTTCCAAACAACTGATGTTTGAAGAAAAAAAACTAAACAAAAAAGAAGTTTTGGAGCACTTAGGGACAGTCACAGTAAAAGGATGAGACTTAACTGAATGACGAGTAACACGAGAATAAATTTTAGTAGATGGGACAAAAGAGGCTAGCTGTTTAGAGCAGCGCCCATTATAGTATTTATAGAACAGAAGAAAAAAAAAAGAAATATTACAACGTCATGACAATGGTTGAAGATTAGTTGCAAGAACAGGTCTAACTATGTTTAGAATGCGTTTTTGTACCTTGTCTAATAGAGAAAGGGCATCATTTGAAGATTCGTTCCAGACATGGCAACAGTATTCCATGCAAGGATGGATTAGAGATTTATAAAGATAGATAATAGAATCCAGAGTAGAAGAGTGGCGAGTATGATAAAGAGGTGCAACTTTAGCAGGTGCTAATTTTGCAATAAATTTGATATATGGTTTCCAAGAATGATCTGAAATAAGAATTAATCCTAAAAGACGAAGGGTAGATGACTCATCGAGTACATTACCATTCATAAATATAAGAAGATCTAAAATATAAAAGTAGATATTGTTATAGTGATTAGTTCTTTTAGTTTAAAAACAAAACTGATGCTAGTTCTTGTCATAATGAAATTGTTGCTGTCGATGAAAAGGAATCTATAAATGATAAATATAACTCACAGTTTTATCAAGGACTATCTTATTAATTTGACTATATCTGTAGATAATTGTAAAAGATGAGCCGAAAAGCATGAAACTTTTGGCTATCGTATTCAAAAAAATTATGTAAAACATATATGCCAAAGCAAATGTAAAAGCATCCATAAATTTGTTTGTCATGAAGTGTAATGTTGCAGTCTATAAAACATAAACAATACAACGTTTTTACACACTTGTGGCAGTCTACTGGTGAAGTATTTTATGCTAAATGCAATTGTAAAGCTGGTGCTGGGGGCTGTTGTAAGCATGTTGCTGCATAATTATACCAACTAGTTGACTATAAAGAGTCAGACATTAAAGTGGTCCCAGAAACCGAAACATGTACTGACGTTTTACAGATATAGCATGTTCCAAGTCAATGAACCAAATCTGAAGCAACTTTATTCTAAAACTTAAATTTTGAAAAACTTGATGCTTATAATGAATAAATAATACTTGAAAAAGACCTTTAATTTCAGGAGCCCGTAAATATTTGTGTTCTATATAATAGATCTTTTTTAATTATATATTAGATCTTTTTTAAGTTGTGTAGGGCATTATGAGATTGATATTCGAACATTGCTCAGAAACAATAGAATTTTTTAGAAACGCAAATGGTGTCGGGATTAATACAAACAAACAAAGTTGTATTAATGTTTTCAGCGCTGTAGTTGTATTTAAAGAATTTTAAATACAACTTTTTTTCTAATTAAAAATGTTTAGTATTTTAAAATGAACTGAGTTTATTATAAAATAATACAAGAGAAAAAATATATATATAAAAAAAAAAAGTGCCGGAACGACGTTCCGGTGTGTTTTATAGAAAAAAAGCACTGGTTTTTAATATAATAATTTATAATCATTAGAATAATTTGTAAGAATGGCAAAAAATATCATCTAAATGTATATTGCACTTTAAGGCCTCGTTTTTTAATTTTATTATGATAGTTGTTTTCAATAGTTTTGATTTTTTATTGATATATTCAGTGGTTCAAAATTTTCTTTTATTGAAACAACTTAATAAAAGTTTTACCCACAACAAACTTTATGATATTTCACATGGTTGATGTTCAAAATTTTCAAACAATGATTAAAATCATAAATGCGAATGTGAAAAAAATTGATATACTTTTGTTAGAAAACTTTGAATTTTAGTTTAGTAAATTTTAAACTTTAGTTCTTTACAAGCATTGTGCTCTCATGAGACTGTTAAAGTAAATTTTGGTTCACTATTATTTTTCCTGGGTTTGGTAGAATAGTAGGGTGGTAGGGTGGTTTGATATAATTTTTAAAATCTAAACTAACTTTTAAACACCAAAAGTATAGATTTAACACATCTGCAAAAAGTATATAAATATCTACATCATTCTATTACAAGTAAAAAAAAAACTGCATTAAACTGCAGATTTTTTTAATAACTTAAATAGACTTATATAATCTCTATTTAAATGAGTAAAAACACTGCAATACAAATGAATTGTTATTAATGTTAATGTTTCTTAAAGTAATCTTAAAACACTTTGAACTTTTTTCAAAATGGCTGAAGCAAAATGCCTTATTTGTTATTATTATATCATTTCATGGAAAAAATAAAAAAAAACTTATAAAATATTTAAAACTTATTTTGGAGAAATATGATGCAAACAAAGAATATTGTTCAAAAAATATTTATACTAATGCAAAAAACTAATATACAATCAACAAGGGTGAAACATCAAAATTTAATATATTGAATAGGGATTGAACATCAAAGTTTAAATATTGAATTAAAAAAATATCTCAAAAAATAAGCAAAAACTCAGAGGGCCATCTAATATTAGTGAAGTATCTGAACAGATCACAACAAATAATCAAGAAATAATCAATAGAACTACTAAAATGAAATTTTCTTTATGGCTTTTTTTAGTAGATAAAATTTCCTTAGACAAATTTGAATACTGTATATCTCACATAACAGCTAAATCTTTTTTTTTAAACCTGAAGACGAGTTTCCTTTCAAGACTTTTAGATATAATCTTTTTGTTGTTATTGGCACACCTGGTAAAATCTTTAAAAGATATAATCTTTTTGTTGTTATTGGCACACCTGGTAAAATCTTTAAAAGATATAATCTTTTTGTTGTTATTGGCACACCTGGTAAAATCTTTAAAAGATATAATCTTTTTGTTGTTATTGGCACACCTGGTAAAATCTTTAAAAGATATAATCTTTTTGTTGTTATTGGCACACCTGGTAAAATCTTTAAAAATGAGAATTTTACTTTAAATCTGAGTAAAAAAAAAAGAAAAAAAGAATTTTCAAAAATATGCAAAAAAACTTAAGGAAGACAATATTCGAATTTTAAATATCAAGTCAGAATGAGGAGTTTCATAACACTTTGCTAGATTTTCAAGGAATTAAAAGTGCAGTGCAGTACTTTTTGAAAAATATTTTTAAAAATGTTAATAAAAATACTTCTGATTTACAATTTGTATGAATAAAGAAGGAAGTTTAAATCCTTATTGTACTGTTGCTAGAACTTTCTTGTATACAAATATACAACTTCAAAAAGTCTAAGGGGCCATCCATGAAGTCTATACGTAGTAAAACTAATGCTTTAGGAACCCTTCCCCTTCAGGGTATGTATGCACCTGATGCTTCCAACATTTAATCGCTACTGCATACATACACATTATTTATTATAAAATCAACTCCCCACACTTTTACAAAGCATACATTTTTCAAAGCATTAAAAACAAAAAAACCTTTTGTTAATTCCACATTTCTCTATTACATAACATAATATTAATTTTTTAAACTCATTTTTAAAAAAAAGAAATTGAGTTTTAGGAGAAATTTAAAATAAGAGATAATCAAATCGCATACGTACTCTCTGTCTTTAACATCTTCCCCCTCCCTAGTACTCACTCATACATTTTTGGGTAACCCCCTCCCCCTACCTAATACCTGGGTAGGAATTTAATGGAAGACCTCTAAATGATTATTATGATCATTTAGATTTTTTGAAGTTCAAAAGATCATTGATTTAGGCTTTAATTAAAGTTGTTTTAAAACACGGAAATCTTATCTAACTAATAAAACCACAACCTCTGAAAAGTAAAAATTATTCAATAGCATTTAATCTAAAATATGGTAAATTATTATATACACCAACAGGGGCTATTGTAAGAAAATATCGAACTGCTTGTCAAACGTTTGCTCTTAGACAAAAAAAATTGGGAAGAGGAAAGTCTAAAATTTTGTGTGTGCACAATTTAAAAACTTTTTGTAATACGGAAAAATACGGAAAAAACAAAAATTTGTTTACTTTTTAGAACATTCTTTGTTTGCAAATAAAGAAATAAAATATAAATTGGCGTTAAAACTTTAGCTAATAAGAGCATCATTAGAATTATATCTGGAGATAATGTGGAATTGCCAATACCTTTTCATCTTTTCTTTCATAAATTATTGTGTCTAGAGCATCCAGAGCAAAGTGGTTCGTATCTAGATATTTTTTCCTATGTGAAAGCCATTGAGAAGTACTTACTTTTAAAATCATCAGTGGTTTTATTTTAAATTAAATTTGAATAGTTTAAAAAATAGTTTTAATTAGGTAAACTAAAGAAAGGGCAAGACGACGATTTCAGCAGTTTAAATGAATATACTTAAAGGAGAAGCTGTAGACCACTTTGCTTACCACCATCGCAGTTGTGCCATTGAATCTATATAATTTCATATCAGTTATTGAATTTTTTTTCTTGCACAAAAACTGTTTGATTATATTAAAAAGTGCTTCAGATAATTTTTATCAACCAATTTGAAATAAAAATTTCCTTTGGAAAACAAAGCATTGTCCACACTTGCTGTTATATCAGTTAGACAGCTTAGCTCAGGTTCATTACTTAATATACTTATATATTCTTGGACAATGCAATTATATTTATATCCAAACAAAAGTTTACATTTTATTTATATATTCTTATGAATAATATTTATATATTCTTGGACAATGCAACTAGAAGTTTAAAATGCATTTCATGGCTCATTTTAAAATGATTTATGAACTCGCCAATTTTTTTAATAAATTTAGTAATGTCTGCAAAATTTTGCTTAACTTTTGGCCAAAAATTATGCTGCTTAAAAAATTTAATAATGAATAATTTCTTTCTAGATTCTTATTCTTCATTACGTTTTATACACCTATCAATATTCTGTTTAAAAATTTTATCTTTTAATAAAATATTAATTGTAGTTCATTTCAAGAGCACACTTGTGTTTTTTGCTAATGAAGTGTGTGTTGTTACCTTTAAATAACATGGATTTTACTTGTTGTTTATTTTAAGTAGCGCATTTGTGTTTTTTAAATGAAGTGTGTGTTGAATAATTCTGTAGGGTGAAAGTTCTGTTTAACACATTTGATTTCCGAAATTCATCCCTATAGCAGAAAAATCCTCACAAGTTTTTAGCCAACAATTTTTTAAAAAACTAAAATAGGCTCATTTAAATTTATTTTCCCAATAAACTATGTGGTCACTGCTGTGTTTTTTTTTTTTTTTTTTTTTGCTACCCACTCCATTTGATAAAATTAATGTGTTACTCATTGGTTGACTGGTTACTCATTGTATGGTTTGTCTGGGAGTTGCATTTAGACACAGTGAATAAACAAATTGTGTTACTGAAAGACTCTGCTTACCTATTTGAAGATAAAACAAAAAGTTAATTATTTACATCTTTTAAAAAATTTGTTTTTTAGAAATCAGTTTTGAAACTTAAAAAAATATCAATTGTTATTTTAAAAAAAGTTATTTAAAAACATGTTTTAGAATTATGTTTAATTAATTTCTAAAAATATATATATTTTTTTTGAACATCTTCGCTTCCAACAAGGCTGCAAGCAACCACTGATTAGTGTTTGAAGTTACTGGAAGAGAAAAGATGAAGATTGTAGAGCAAGATAACAATTGCAATATAAAATGTCATATTTATATAATACCAACTACAGATTAAATAATGTAGCTTTATTAAGAAATATGTAAATAAATAATCCAAATACACAAAAAGTTTTCACATCATTTAGCGTGCTACTCATATTGATTGCATCATCAAATCACGCTTTTTTTGTAAAGTTTTCATACTTTTTTTTTTAATTTACTGGCTTTAAATATTTTTTACTTATTTCAAGACATTTACATGTCAAATAAATTGTAGCTTTTTTATTGTGACTTCAAAAGTTGATTTTGGGCAACAAGTCGCCTTTTTTTTTTCATCAGTAATTTCTTAGAAGTTTTGTGTACTTTTCCCACACAGAAATAGATAAAATAATTACTTGATTTCAAAATGGCTAAGCAACAGATAAATTATACATTTTTACAAAGCAATAATTATATTTTAGAATTCAATTTATCAATTTAAAAAATGTATATATAATTATAACTTAATATATTTACCTGACTTTTAAAGACGTCACTTAAATTATATATAAAAGTCTAAAATAGCCCCCTAACCAAGCAGACCGGAGAGAGAGCTGCCACTATTAGATATAGAATCAATACAAGAGTTGTTTAGAAACAATACAAGTGTTACCAAGTGTTATTTGAAGCACAATTATTATGAAAAACAGCTTTTAAAAAGTGTGATTGTGTTTAGGGTAAACAATTTAAAGCAACCATTTATTCATTTATTTGAATTTTTATTCAATTATTGTTATTTTTGTTATATATGAAATCATCAGTAATCACTTGATGTTACATAAATAATCATTAAAGGAACTAATGCTTTCATTTTTAATGTTACATTTATTGCATTATATATCAATCAATAATTAATTTTTCAAATTAAAAAACTTTAGTTTTTTAATAAAATTTGATTTGAAAGTGTAATTTTAATACCTTTTAATTATAAAAAAATGTGTAATTTTAATACCTTTTAACTTTAAAAAAATAAAAAGATATTTTTTAAAATCTTAAGTCTAAAAAGAAAGAATCAGATAGCTATTACTTCCACCACCACCATCATATTATTACCTCCACCCCAACACCCCTCTTCGTGTTTTTATTACAGGATAAATCTGTTTTTATATGTTTAAAATTTAGTTTAAAATTTAGTTTAGGTTTTAATAATTATTTAATAATAATAAAAATTAATAATAAAAAATAAGGAGTAAACCAAAATTTATTTTGGCAAACTTAGAGAGCACAGTGTTAATTAATGAAACTTATTTACATTAACAATAGTAGTTAAAAAAAACTTTTTTTATTTAGTCTTAATGTTAACATACCAGTTTTTTACAAACATGGCAGACTGTTGGTCGACAATAAGAATGTATTACAAATGTATGAGGTATTTCAAGCTTATTAACTAATCGATCAATGTCAGGTGGTCTACCGCCAGCAAATGCACTCCATGTATTCCTTCTTTGCCTTTGAAGAGTTGTTGTTGACGATAATGAGAACAATGAAATATCTCCATCATTAGATAAAGAAGTCCATTGTTCTGACATTCGTCTTGGTGCTGTTGAGGTACCATAAGAAGAACCATTAACCAAAGGTTTTTCTGCAGAGCAATCATTTGGTATTTTAAAGGCACATTTTTTATGGAAATTTCCCCCACATCCTAATAAAATTAAAAAAATTAATTTAGTTTGTCAACTGTAAATATCTCTAAACAAAAACTCTGAGAGCATTTGCCGATAAAGCATACCTTCACACTTTAAACCTTGTCGAACAAGTCCAAAGAGCATTACCCCACAATGATCACAAAATGTCGGGGATTTATATGAATATACATACAACATATGTGAACGCACAGATGAGTCATCCAAGGAAAATGAATCTGTATAATAAAAGTTATTATAAGATAACAAAAAGATTATTATTTTCTATTTTGTAAGTAAATCTTTATTCAATAAAACAGAAAAAAATGTCATTTCAACATTTATTATTATTTTACTCTAAAACGTGGAAGAAAAATATAAATTTGCGGATACAAATGTAATAATAATTCAGTATCAGTCCTGATATTTATGACATATCAAACAAATGGAATATGATACTTAAGATGCTATCAAAGTGTTTTGTAAGTTTATATGTTAAAAGGAAATATTTTTAATTAAAATTTTTTTTTGAAATAGTTATAACTACTTAAGTAAGGTTCTAATTAGTTAAAATTAATTTGTGTACAAGGTTGTTTTATTTAAATTTAAAATTTTCAAAATATTCATTAAAAAAAGCTATTTTAAAAATAGCAGTATAATAATTTTCCTATTAAAATATAACAGTAAAATAATAATAAATGCTAATTTAATTAGAGACCTTATTAATAATTAAGGGCTTTAATGTTATTTTTAAACCACATCAAAGTTGAAATAATGTTGAATAAACATTGAAACTTAGCATTGAAGAACAGTTAATTTTTACATAAAATGGAAATACAAATTAATATTGAAACGTAATGTTAGATCAACATTGAAATCACTATGTTAAATAAACATTGATTTACTATTAATTCAACCAACTTATATATGATGAGCATATAATCTTGCAAAAAAAACAACTATTTTTCCCACAATGCACATATAAAAATTTTGTTTTTTAAGGTTGGCCTAATATTATTCAGGTTAAAATGTGTACAACACAAAGACTGCAATAGTGGAATTTATATAGCTTATTACCATCTTACAAATGTAAGTCTTTATGATAAGCTTATTTTTTGATCTGTAAACACAAATAACTAAACTCTAAAAACTGCACCTGCCTATAATAAAAATTCCAAAAAATATATGCTACAAAAAAAAAGATAATATTTTCAAATTTTTTCTTGCAAATATTTTGCAAAAAAAAAAAAAAAAAATTATTGTGTGTGTATATAAATATATATATAAATATATATATATACATATATATATATATATATATATATATATATATATATATATATATATATATATATATATATATATATATATATATATATATATAAATATATATATATATATATATATATATATATATATATATATATATATATATATACATATATACAATTGTAAATGCAATATATACAAATATGAATTAGATAAGCACTGTGACCTCACACTGAAAAAGTGAAAAAACTTGGTGCGGGGAGCATTAGTACATACATTGACTATCTTTTAGTCAAAGCAATGCTAAATTTTTACATTTAACTTGCTAACTAATTCAACAATAAGTATTCATTAATACATACTATATCATGTTTAGAAATCAAACTAACAAACCTTTAAGAACAATTTCCAGTGTATCGTTGTTGTTTAATATATTTACTGATTGAACTAATTCAAGAGAATTTGACAAACGATAATCATGTCTAAATAGCATAATTGAGTCAACTATCCCAGGCTTGGTGCAGCTAGGATACTAAAAAAAGACTTTTTTTTTTAATCAAATTTCATCAAGAATAAATAACTCATTTTAAAATACTTTGAAAAGTAAAATAACAATAATATAATTTAAAATATACCAAATAAAATATAAATAACATGATTTTTCTGAAACATACCAACAGCTATAGCATTCAGAAATGTGATAACAGGTGTAGCATGTCTGACTGATTGTTACAAAAAAACCTATGCTGTCATTTTTTAAACATTTGTTGCCAAAAGCTAATTTTGCTTAATTTTATTGTTCTTTTATTTTTACTTTTTTTAAAATAGAAGTTTTAATAATAGTTAATATTTATAAATAAATGCTCTTGTTGTTAATTGTTTTAGAGAGTTTACAACTTTTACATCTGAAAAGCAGAGTAAACAGAGACAAAATTTTCTGTAACAAGCAAAAATTTACAAAAAATTTACGTTTAAAATTCTTTAGTTTTTTAAGCCAATAACATACATATAATTAAAAAAAATTTGTTTCAACATTTCTCCTGACTTGTATGTCCCGAACTTATATCTCCCAACAACATATCCTGAACTTGTATCTCTTGAACTTGTAACTCCCGACAACATGTCCTGACTTTTAACTTTGCAATGAATGTAAGTAACATAATTTTTACTTGTATCCCCATAACCTCTTTTGAAAAAACCAAATTGTCAACTATGAGACTTTTTAGTATTTTTATTTATAATAGACTAATGTAGAAAATTCTTACAAGTGAAATTTTGTTTACTTTAAAAAACAGAATAATTTAAAAAAAAGATATTAGCTGTGAAGTCAAAGTTTTAAATCTGTGGAATAGAAGCTGTAAGAACACACAGGCTAATTAATTATAATTATATACAATGCATATTACAATATTTACCATTAAATAAACACAATACCTTATAGTTTTTTTTCAAAGTTTACTATTAATAGAACTTAATCACAACAGTGATAGCTATTATGCAATTGCCATTTTCACAAAGAAAAAATTTTATATTATAAAAGATTTTGTATAACTTTTAAAAAATTAAACATCAAAGAAAATTGCTTTTGCTCAATTTTACAACTTTTTCTTAAACCTTTAATTTAATTCTAGTACAATTTTTAATCAGCATAAAGTTCTCTACAATAACCAATCATAATAAATCAGGATATAAAACTGAAACAATATTTAGAGACAAATTTGCTTTAATATGTAAAGAAACAAATGTTTAAAATGAATTTGTTGGTTTTCTTTTTTAAATATCTCAAATTGATCTATTAAAACTATTTTTAATAAATCAATACAAGACCTTTTTCCTTTATGAGTGTTTTCAGATCAAGAAACTTTCTAAAATTTGACTTTTTATAAATAACTTACTTTGAATATATATATATATATATATATATATATATATATATATATATATATATATATATATATATATATATATATATATATATATATATATATATATATATATATATATATATATATATATATATATATATATATATATATATATATATATATATATATATATATATATATATATATATATATATATATATATATATATATATATATATATATATATATATATATATATATATATATATATATATATATATATATATACTTTGCTTTGAATAAATACAGCAGCTAGTTCTTTGAGGTTTGCCAGATCATAACCTTCATATACAACAGATTCTCTATCAATGCCAAATTTAAAAACAAGTTCTTTGTCTACATTATTAGAACTATTGTTTTCTTGATATTCATAGCTATCTATGCTATCTTTTTTATGAGAATTTAACGAACTCATTGTAAATTCCAATCTTCCTAAAATACAAAATTAATGCAGCAGTTTACAACTTTTATCCTTTTAAAAAATAGAAATAATATACAAAATTCGTATTTTAAAATTATTTAAAACTCTTAATTCCAATCATTTTATATAAAATATCCAATGTCATTTACAAGACTTTTAGCATATGCTAATTTGAAAAATAAATTAAAAAATAACACAAAAAAGCACCTTGCTCACGTTCCTTATATGCACACCTGCTATTAATAAAACTAGTACATACATCTTAACAATAAGGTTTATTAACTATTACGATTACATTAAGAAAAAAAAAAAGAGTTTTTATAAAACTGGTAATAATAAAAGGCAAGATTGCCTTTTAGATTTTTACGAATTTTTTTGTTTATGTTTACAAAATCTGATTTATCCCGGTGATGGCGAATGTGCAGGTTGGTGCACCGGATATAATATTGGCAGGACCACCGGGACTTTGTCCCGGGCGGCAGATATCGAAGGGAAAAATAGATACCTAAAATAAAAAAAAAAGGTCCTTCATATATAATATAGGGAAAATTTGATAAGTGCGCCAATCAGGGTTGCTGTCCCAGGGGGCGCGACATTTCTCGGCGGCCCTGAATATCGGGTCAAGCAATGACATTAACATTATGTTATTGACTAACCGCATAGTCACTAACATAACCGAGATAACTTACCTGTAAGTGTTTATCCATATCTGGAATTTTTAAAGGGCTATTAGTTTATTTATGCTACAAGCCAAAACGTGTTTACAAGAGTAAATAGCGCTTAGTGAAAATTAATTCTTGTGCCTTCAACTTTAAAGGTTAATACTGATTGCAACTTTACAGTTTATTTATTTATTAAATAAGTATTTATAAACTGTAAGTGAGTGTGAACATTGGCAAGACCATTTAAGTTAAAAGATCAACAAGAAAAAATATTAATATTAGTCTATAAAATGCATACTTTTTCGCAAATCAAAGCACTGCGTTTTAAGAATCACAAATATTTCAGTAATTTCAATTGAATAATTTTTTATATTAAAGCGACACTTCATGGTTCGTTGTAGAGATCCATCATTTTAATTTTAAGTGTGGTCAATCAAAACGACGCAACCAGAATAAAAAACTTATCAGTAGACAAAAAACTAGCTGCACGAACTATTTCAAACGTATATCGTTTGAAACAGTTCGTGAAGTATATACAATATATTAAATGTTTATTAACTAAACAATATAGAGCACTTTACGTAAAATTAGTATCTGATGAGTATCTGAGGTCCACAACCAGAGCAACTGTATCATATTTAGAACTTTTTTAAATATGATGTAATTAGGAAAAGAAGGTACTGGGGATTCTTTAAACTAGATTTCATTAGCAAAAAGGGTGTCGTAGTGATACGTTGATAATGCGAGTTTGGTGAGTTTATTGTAATTTAGAGATGTGGCATTAGTGTAGATGCGTAAGTTAGAGATGTGGCGTTAGTGTAGAAGCAATTTAGATTTAAAGATGGTTTGGAAACATTTTTTTATGATGTAAAGATGAGTTATTGATTGTAGAAAAACAGTCATGTTTTAAATGTCGCAACTTTTGCTTGATTAGTTGAAGTTGCTCAAGTTAGCGGTGGCAGGATTTAAACTCGTATCGTTTAATAGTCTGTGTTTTAACTTTTCTAACCAACTGAGCTATCGAGCCACTTTGGCAATTATAAAACATGGTTAAGCCAATATATAATAACTATTCTAAAAATATTATCCGTAAAAATCTTATGCAAAAACGAAAAATTGAAATAAGTAGTTTTACCGTTCTAATTTACTTATGACCACTAACATACCGTCAATAATATTTTATCTTTTAGCGAACTTCAGATTTGTGTAATATTTAGCGACGGATTCAGAATTTTTTGGTGTTTGAGCTACCTTCCAGACATGGAGAAAACACCAAACATTTATTTTTATTATTGGAGACTGGGAACAAAAGCCCTTTAATTTCATCCATACATCCCCTCTACCCCAAACGTGAGAGGAAACAAATTGATAAAATACTTTTTGTACTGTTCTCAACTAGACTTATACTCATCGATAAATTTTAAGTTTCATAGTATTATCTCTAAGCGTTCAAAAATGACTATATAAAATTTGTAACCCCCTCAATTTGAGGGGGTATTCGATTATATTTTTGAACTCTAATTTAATATAAAATAGGCTAAAAACTTAGAAAATTGATTAAAAAAGAATTATTGAAAAATTGTTAGATGATTGGTCATAAAGTTAGTTAGCAACCAATGACGCCTTTTAATTTACGCTTGAATTTTTTTATGAAATTATTACAAGGACTTTTAATATTGTAGTTGATTGTACAATAGGTACATTCAAATAACAATTTTTTCAGTCATCTGAAAGTCATGCAAACTGGCAAAAGTGCGACAAAAAAATTTTCAAACATTGACATAAGTGCAAACTATCACAAGTTCGAAGCATGAGTTAGCATATGTGTGAACTCGCATATGTGCGCCAAAAGAAATTACAAACATAAAGTAAAAATTGATTTAGGATTCGCACTTACGCCAATTTGCATTTACGCCAGTTTACAATAACGTCAGTTCGCACTTAACTTATGCTAGATTGCACTTATGTAGGTTTGCTGTTATGAAATTTGCACTTAGCCAGTCGACCCATTTTATGTTTTTTCTTTTTCAAATTAGATAAATATTAACGAACAAAAAATCGAATAAAAAAAGATCATATAATGAAAAATATCATCAAAAAATGTAATAGCAGGCGCGGATGCAGAATTTTTTGATGTTTGAGATACCTAACTTGTTTGGACATGGAACAAACTCCAAAAATTCATATGTTTATATTCATATCAAATAAGGATGCTATGCTAAAAATTGCGATGATTAGATCATGGGAAGAAAAAATCACGTTTGGGGCAGGTGTAGTTAAAATTTTCAGGGCTTTTTTGTTCTTAGGCTTTAATCATTTCAATTTTTTGCAAAGCATTCTTATTAGATATAAGTATAAACATATAAATTTTTGGAGTTTGCTCCATGTCTGGAAGTTAGGTATCTCAAATATCTTTTTTTTTTTTGTATGTATTTAAATGCTCCCAGAAGTCCTTACGGTCTCATCATAGAGCACCGCGGGAGAGCATTTAACGGGAAGTTCATGCCTCCTTCCGTACCAATGTTGCTTGTTGGGCTGGAGCTGGCGTCGAGCCTGGGACCTCTGGGTTCTGAGCCAGAACTCTAACCACTGTGCCACGGCTGCTCAATGAATTATAATTAGTTAAAATGATAATATCTCAAAAAAAGCGCCAGAGTAGCTAAATTAAAATGGAAAAACGTCTTAAATAGAATAATGAATATAATGTAAATATTCATTAATTGATTAAAAGATACATTCAATTAAAAGTGGCTTTAATTAAATACCATTAATTGACTAAAAGATGTATTTAATTAAAAGTAGCTATAATAAAATAAGGGTCTAAACGTGGTTTATCATTTGCGGTTTTTTCCTGTCAATTTTTTTTAGTAAAAGACTAGTCCAACTAGTCAACATACACAAATATACAACCACCACTTTTAGATTTTTAAGGTTTAAAAAAGGTTTGGGTAACATACCTCCCTAATTTTAAGTAAATAAAAAAAATTAAAATTTATCAAAATTTGATAGGGAGGGAAGTAATATTTTAAAGTTATATTTTAGAGGAAGAATCTTTTCGTCATATGATCGTAAAAAAATTTGGAATATTCTTTTTGTTTAAAAGTTGGTTATTTCAAATATTTAAAAACCTTCCTACGCCACTGAGCACAATAACCATATGTAATTACATAGAGCGTGTTAAGTAGTTGAGTTACATGGAGCGTGTTCAGTAAGCCATCAGCAGCTAGCTGGCCCAGCTCGTGCATGTTTGCACGGAAGCGGATGTACTGTGGTAATTATAGTCCTATCTGATCAAATTTTGCTTAAAGTAGTTAATACTGACAGCACTGACGTGACTTTTATCGGTGAACGGTGCGGTTGTTAAAGTAGTTAAATGCCAATATTTATTTTAGCCGTATGACTAGCCACTATTAACATATCAAAAAGTTATCGGCTCGGCATTTATTGGCTGCCACTAATGGTCCACTAAGTAACCGATAAGCAAAACTCCAATGAACCGCTAAAAAATGTTTATATAGGTCCACTGCAAATCTACTAAAAAAATGTTTTCTGGGAAGTAGATCTTTTTGGCTATATCATAAAACACACAAAAAATATCCTGAAGCTATTTGGCTATTAGGTAATATTTTTGATGATATTAATATATTTTATTAATAGTATGCCAATGATGAGCAAACTTAAATATGCATATGTATCAGCAGCTTTTTGAATTTTAAGTTCCTTTTTATTCATAGCTAAAACTGCATTTCATCTCATTTTGGATGATTGAGCTTTCTTATATAATTTCTTACCATCGTTACTTACATTACAAATTGAAGTTAAGTTATAAACAACAACAATAACAACAAGCTATTTATTTTTCATTTTAATATCATTTTTACAATAATAAGGTAAATATTAATAACAATAATAATTATAAAATAATAAGCAATAGTAATAATTTATAACAATAATAATAATAATAACAAAAAAAAAATTATAAATAATAATAATTACTTTAATAATAATAAGTAAAATGATATATTATTTCTTATTATAATAAGATAATGATTGGTATGGATGGTGTCACTCATACAGAAGTCTGATCAAAGGAGTGACACCATATAAAAATAACATTTTCTTTGAATTTATTACTAGTAATATTCGTAGTTTTCTAAATAATGAAAATAATATTTTAAATTAAAAACAAAATCATCAAACTTTAAACAAATTTGTAGTAATATTTTCAATTATATAAATAACTTGTTGTTCCGATATGCCCCACAAAAGTCAATTTACTGAAATTAAAACTATTCAAAAAGTTCAATTCGAGATATTTCTTTAAAACCAGATTCCGAAAGAGGATAAAAAATCTGTCTGAAAAATATAAACTTTTTATAAATAAAGCAAATTAGCAATAGTTCAAGATCAGTAGCGGATTTAGATTTTTTGGGCCAGGGGCTATTTTTGTTTTTGTAGGCCTTTTTATGGGCCAGAGCCTAAAAATGACTAAAAAAAAAAGGTCCTCTAAAATTTTTAGGGGCCCCTAAATTTGCGGGGCCCGGGGCTATAGCCCCCTAGTCCCCCTTGATCCGGCACTGTTCAAGATAAAACTTTTGTTGTTGTATTGCTTATGAAAATACGCAAATTTTGTTTTTCGCAAACATGCTGATGCATTTTGGTACTTTTAATGCATTTCGGTATTTCTAAAAATATTTTTTTTTACAATTATGAACACATTAATTTAAAATGTCATATCAAAAAAAATTTGAAAAAAAATTTTTTTTAGCTGAGATATAAGCTGAGAATTTTATCTCTGTTTTAGCCGAGTATAGCTTAATGGTACCCTCCCCATGGTTTACAATTTTTCTCCTACATTGAGGATTTAAGTGTTTGTATTTCCCTTAAAACTGTTTAAGGTGGTAGTACAGGGTTAGGGTTAGGGTTAATTTTTTCAAAATTTTTTTTTTAACAATTTTCATTCATTGATCATGTCTACTCTTATAATAATTCAAAAAAAATAAAAAATAAAATAATCAAAAGGCCTAAATTACTCTCAATAATTTGGTACTGGAAAATTAATTGCCTTAGCAACGGTCTTTAGAGATACATTTCTTGCTATATCTTGAAAAATAAAAGTTCAATTTATATGCTTTTTTTGTGTGCTTATGATTAAATTGTTCCTTAAGAACACTTGTTAGTTTTTGATCTAATATCCATAAATTGAAACCTCATGTTTGTTTCTGTAATATAGATAATTATCCTTTTATACAATTTTCTTTGATTGATGGATAATTTTGATTAGTTGTCTGATAAATGGGTTCAAAAAAAAGATATGCTAAATCAAGAGCAAAGAAAAGAAAGTTTCATAAATTATAAAAAGATTCTTTAAATAATTCAAATGCTTTACAACAAACTGTTTTGTCTCCACATTCACCAAGCAATGTAAGTGGATCGGCATCTGGAAAAAAATAAACTTGTCTCTTTTAGATATAGAAAACTTTGATTATATAGAAAAAGAGTGTAATATAATTATAAACTCAAATTTATTTTCAAGTTTGTTGAAAACAGTTGGAAGATGCCCAGAATGTTATGCGTCAATCAATATTATACATGACATTAATAAAAAAGAGGGTCTTTCTCACACTTTTCTAATTTCTTGTCAAGATTGTACATGGATGATAAATTTTTTAACTTCAAAATCAATAGAAAATAAAAATGATGTAATCAAAGGTAAAAAAATGAAAGAAATTAATCTACGTACTGTGTTAGCTTTTTGAGAAACGGGGCAAGGATACACAGCAATTAATACTTTTTGTCGTTTAATGAATATGCCTCCAGGTATGACTAAACGTGGTTACCATAATATTAATAACAAACTTCACCTTGCTTACATTGAAACCTCTCGACAGAGTATGAAAAAAGCCTCAGAGGACATACGTAGGGAAAAACTTGATGAAAATTATGATGAATCTTCAATTGTCAATGTTGCTGTTAGATGGTTCATGGCAGCGCAGAGGATACTCCTCAATGAACGGTATAGTCACAGCAATATCTCATGGAAAGTGTATTGATGCTGCTGTCCAGACAAAAAGTTGTTATCCCTGCAAGATATGGTCAAGAAGAAAAGGTACTCCGGCTTATGAGAACTGGAAGATCACACATAAGTGCAAGATTAATCATAAGGGTAGCTCAGGAAGTTTGGAATCTGTAAGCGCTGTACAAATATTCAAGCGATCTGTCAAGGAGCTTAAACTGAAGTACCTAACATACATTGGAGATGGAGATACCAAGTCTTATATGCAAGTATGTGATGCAAATCCATACCCAGGAGAAATTATTGAGAAAGCAGAGTGCATAGGACATGTTCAGAAGAGAGTTGGTGCAAGACTACGAATGTTGCGAGATCGTTACAAAGGTAATACATTATCAGATGGATAATACATTAGTGGGAAAGGAAGATTAACTGATAAGTGGATAAATACTCTTCAAAACTATTATGGAATAGCAATACGCTAAAACATTGATAGTCTATATGGGATGAAAAAGGCTGTTGCTGCAGTACTTTTTCACTGCGCACAATCTGACAACTTAGAGCAACAGCACCAGTTTTGCCCTAAAGGTTCAAGTTCATGGTGTAAATATCATTCAGACCAGAAAAATTACAATTCAAAGTGTATTCCAAAAGCTATAATTGAGCTCATTAAGCCAATTTTTTCTTACAAAGATCCTGGCAGTGATGAATTGCTCAAGAAATGTTTACATGGCCAAACTTAAAATGTCAATGAATCGCTAAATGGGATGGTTTGGGCTCGCGCACCCAAGAGAGTACATGTGGAAAAAACAGTTGTTGAGATTGCTTTGGCCTCTGCAATAATTAGCTTCAATAATGGAGTTCAGGGTTTACTACCAGTGTTTGAAAAATGTAATGTTGTGCCTGGATATTTTACAACAAAAAGTTCTCTAAATGTAGATTATGTTCGCGTTAAGCAGAATGAGATAAAAAGTACAGGTGCCACAAAAAACAGGAGGAAAAAGCTAAGAGCTATTAAAAAAGGCTTTATTGACCAACATAACGAAGCAGAAGGTGTTACATACAACAGTGGTGGTTTTTAATAGGTTTTATTGTGTAAAAAACTTTAATATTTTTTTAAATTGTGTTTTTCTAGCGATTCACTTTTTGTGTATCTTTTAATTTTTTAACAAAGATAACATTTTTAATCGCTCATTGGAATTCTTACAAATTTTCAGCAATTATTCTTAAGTTTGTTTGTGATATGCTGAACCAAAGAATTTTTTTTTTTTTTTATATTAAAGTATTAAAATTTGAGCTTCAGCAAGCTGTACTTATACTTTTATTTTTATTGATAGAATTTAATGATTTTAAAGTTATTAAATGTTGTTTATTGTAAAATTTTTATTCAGCACATTTTTTGAGCATATATAAAACTACTTATTAACTTTGGTTTGTAGAACATGTATGGTTCTCAAGATATTCTTGTTAAAAAAAGGTCAATTTTTTTGCCTAAATTTTGCTAATTTATGCGCATAATTATTGAGCAGAGGGGTAAAAAAAATTAATTTTGTTATTTTTTGAAATGATTTAATCTAACACTTTAGAAAAACATAAATGTTCCCATATAATATCAAATTTTAATTTTTTTTTCTCTCAAAGGGTACTACCACCTTAATATTTTGAACTATTATACAAATGTCTTCAGTTGAAAAAACATGGTGGTTTTATGATGCAAAATGAATATTAAAAGATGATTTTTTTAAATAAGGTCTTAAAACCATATGAAATTTTATGTGATATATTTTCAGATTTAAATAACTTGTAACTTGTACACCATATAAAAATTCTGATTTAATGTTTTTAACAAATATTTAACTGTGTTCTTACTTGCCTGATCTTTATATTTAAATATGTAAAATGTATTCTGTGTATTATTTTTAACTATTACGTATTAGTTTATTACTAATTTTAACCAATGTTATTAGTTGAAATCGCAGCAACACAAAAAAAATATTTGAAATCGTTAGAAAAACGTGCAAACAAAAACAGCTAATAAATCAATAGAAAACTAACTGAATGGTATGATGTTTGGTTGCACCAAACATCTATCATTATGGAAAATGCCTCATGTAACACTATTATTATGAAAAATGCCACATAACAACTTAACGATTATTTCCGAATAAGCATAAAAAAATTTGAACATAAAATATTAGAATTAGAAATTAATGGCATTTAAAAGTGGTCTAAAGTTAAAGATGGAGTCGGTAAAAATTGTTTTACTTTTTGGTGGCCAAATTTTATTCATTGCTATTAATAAGATATTAACAAAAAGAAACATCGTTAGATGTACAGAATTTTAGATATATAGAACAATATATATTTTTATTTTTATCACATTTTAGTCCTCTAAAGATAAAAATTAAGGTAATCAAATTTTAACTGGTGCAACTGCTAAATCCCCTTACTTAGTGTAACCGCTTACTCACCAAACCTTATATCCCAAACTGATATAACTGCTTACTCCTTAAACCTTATTTCCCAAAAATCATTTACATATAAAATGACAACTTGCGATTCATAAAAACATTGGTCGTTAAACTTGCCTAACTTTAACTACTCTTTTTGGTACAAACTTGCTAATAAAACAAAATGGTGTTAAGTACATTAAAAAAAGCATTAATTAGCTAATTACTTGCTTGAATTTGAAGCTGCTAATCCCAGAACAACAGATTGTTCTACTCGTCTATAAATAACGAAAACTATTTGTATTAATAAAAAGTGTATTGTTTTAAAAAGAAAAAAAAATTATTTCTTAATTCTATAAAATTTAAATAATATTAAAAATATTTTGGGAGATAATAAAAAAAGAAAACGCAACATTATTTTTTACCAAAAGAAAAAACTTTTGAGCGAAATTATTTCTCCTTAAAATAAAACAATACAAAAACTATTACAATGAAGAGTTACCTCTTTGTTTTTCACTTCAAAACTGCATTTTGCTTTTTATGAAGGTTTTTATGTTGCTCAACAGCACTTTTGTTTGGTCTGTAAAAATTAAAAAAAAAAAGAATTACCTCAAAATTTTAATAAAATAAAAAACAATATTAGAGCCTATGTAATAACATTCATTTAAAAAAAAAGTTTTTCCAATATTCAATAAAAAAACAAAAATTCTATATTTTAGATAAAACATAAGGTCTTTCAGTTTCAATTATGCCTTTTATTTCTTTATATAAACATAAAAATAAATAACTTTTAAATAATAATTTTTCAAACTTGTATGTTACCTTTGATGCGATTTCAAAAATTAAACAACCAAAATAGTTTTTTAAATCTATAGATAATTAACTCGAAACTAATTAATTTTTAAAATTATCTTCTGTTTCTGTCCACTAAAGAAATAGTTTTTTTTTTAAATTGATCACGCAACATACAAACCTCAATCTGCTTTTAAACCACGCGCCAATTTACCATATTTAATTAATAAGTTTTCTTTAAAATACTTGTATAATAAAACTTCAATAAGTTCCTTTAAAATAAGTTAAATAGCTCTAAAATCAAAGGTATTGCGAATGAAAAGTTTTATTATTTGAAGCGCAATAAGACAAAAAAAAAAAAAATGATTCCAAAACAGGCTTAACAAATTCATGTTGCTCTGTGACACTTAATTTCACTCTTTTTAAGTTGTCATACGTATACCATAGTATAAATTTAATCATAGCATAAAGGCCTATTTCCAACAGACAATGAAGACGTCCATCCTCAGAAAATAAATTTGGCATATCTGATGATCGACCGATAGTTAATCAACACCATTCATTAATTATTCTAAACAATGCTTAATTATTTAGAAATAAATAACTAAATGAAAAAATAATATAAATAATTTAAAATGTGTGTTGCTGACATATATTATTAATTATTGATGTACTAAATTTTTAAATGTATCTCGTACTTTGTATGTAAGGTTTATTTAAGTACGACATGTCTAAACATCTATGGACAAAAATTATTAATAAACATAATCATAGCATTAACATATAATAATATATTTTACCTTTGAGTAGATATCAAAAAACTGATGCACTTGAACAACTTGGCCAATAAAAAACTTGACCGAAATAATTTCAGCAACGGACTGTGATCTTGTTTAGTAAAATAGTAATTCCTACCCTAGCCGCCGCAATAAGGAGAGGGTCTTTGAGTACTTTGTATCCCGGCGCCGAAGTAGAAGGAGCGCACAATGACCAATTTTTTTTTTTTACTTTATTAAAATAGATTGATAAGGCATTAATAATTTTGTTTATTATGCTTCTTATATCAAAAGTAAAATAACTTGGTGACCCGATTAGCCTACTTTTTACTAGATGTCAGTTGTTTTTATGTCAAAACTACATCGTTAAAACACATTTTTTTCTAGAAAAAAAGGCGCAGAAACTCACCTTTATTTTTCTTTATTTACCAAAAATGAAGCAGAAGTTAGCCATTAAATTTTTAAATAAAATTTATACATATACTACCGCCAATAATTATTCGAATGGCCATACTTTTCAATACCAGGTATTAACGTTTTACCTTCTATTGGGGAAAAAACTGAAGACATAATCTAACTGAATTATATGTTATTTTCCTATGAATTAAGTTTACATAAAAAATAACATAAAGTTCTATTTGATTATTTCATAATTTATTTGCATATTTAATTCCCCCTAGCGACATTAACCGCTATAGATATTCTTGGCATTCTACGTAACAATTTATCCTTAGTTTTTATTGACTTTTTTCCACATTTTTTGCATAATTAGCCATTCGTTTTTTACATTACTAATTTATTCTATAAAAGTCCTATAGGAGAGAGGTCTGGTAATTGGAATATGCTAAACAATATTTGATCCCTCTTTAACTCAGTCAACTTATACAATGTACTAAAGATTATATTTTGGATTTAAGCTTTGGGTTGTTTTCTTCTAAAAATGACTTCCTAGTTAGTTCAATTTTTAAAAGTAATAGCATGACTTTTTAAATATGTCCAAATAAACTAATAAACTTTGTCATCATTCCTTTTATTTTTATAATGTAACCTGTGGCATTTCAACCAAAACAACCCCACACCTTAACACTACATCTACCATGTTTCACAGACAATAATACACACTACTTTATGTTACATTCAACAACTTTTCTTTGGTCTAACAATCTTCTTTTGAAATCATAGATTTAAAACTTTGACTTGTCGGTCCTGTTTACAGTCATTGATGATTCATTTTTTATGTAGTTTTGCCCACTTTAGCATTTTTATTATTTTTATAATTTTTATCAAAACATTTTATTTAAAATACTTTTATGATTATAAAATTAACTAATAAATGCAAATAAAAATTGAAAAATTATTAAAGTACAACAATTTTTTAAAAAAGTTAATGTCATTTGAATAATTATGGACGGTAGTATAGACGTTCGTAAGCTCCCCCCCCCCTCACACCATACCTAATAAGGTAGCAAAAAATAAAAGAAGCCGTTGTCCAATGTAAAAAGCTATTTTTTTACATTGGACAACGTTGTTGTTTTTTTTGGGTTGAGGTAGAGTGGGGTGAGCGGTCACGGCACTGTGTACAAGATAAAAACTAAACATAATTAAATTACATTATTACAATAATTCCGAGAGTTTTTTCCAACTTTCGTATATAAATCATCTCGTCTCCTTCGCTTGCTCTTAGTGTCTACAGCTGAATTCTTTTCGCTAAGAAACCACAAATCAACGTATTAACGGATCAAAACTTGTTAGCAGTGGTTCCACTAACTTGATGAACAACAACATTAAAACTTTTTTGATCATTAATGAAGCTCTTGTTAGTCTGATGGTCAGATTCATCAGTGAAAATCTTTATTAGTATTCTTTTGAGAAAATGGGTATAGTATAAAAAGCATATACCAAATAAACTAAACTTTCAGGATATGTTTTTTGTACTGGTGTTCACGTAATTCATGAACCATTTTAGTCCCACTAGTCCCCATAAATTGACTGGTAAATTCATTCCACTGCCCTTTACACAGCATTGAATGTACCTTATCAGTATCAAGTTTTGGCTTATTGTGATTGACTATTTAATCATTAAAAAACTCTTTGATTTTATGTCTGAAAGAATTTTTTCCTCATTTTATTGCCCATATAATTGACGATTTTAATGCATGCGTTTGTAGAATAAAGAATACGACCCATTTCAATTCGATTAGTTCCTTGAAAATCAATTTTCATTTCAAAGTTATTAAAGGACTGATTTCCTTTTGCAACTTTTTGCAGTTCAAAAAAAATTTGCTTTTAAACTTTTCTCACACGTTTAAGACTTTAAAATATTGTTTAAAAGAGTCTCTTTTTTAACTTCTTCTACCATCTTTAATGCAGCTTTATATCCAGCAAAAATATTTGATCACAAAGAATCTGCAGATTTTTTGTGATCAAATATTTTCTTACGTAACAAACTTAAATGTTGTTTTCTATGCCATAAGGGGTTGTCCATAAAGTACGTACGTTCATTGGGGGGAGGGGTCATTGTGTGGTTCATTCACAAACCATATGTTTTAATATGTATACTAATATATTCTCGTATAATAATGTATAATAATGTAAAAACGTGCTCAATAAGTTACAACGTTCGCGTAGGAGCAGAGTAAGAGTTAGAGAGAAAGCGTGGGATTAACCGCTGACAATATAACACAAATAACAAGAAGTCGTTGCCGCGCTAGTGAGCGCGACAGTCATCAAATATCGTACGAAAGCGTATAAGGGGAGGGTTAATTTAAAAGTACGTATTTCATTTTTTTAATTTATCACAATTAACCAGCTAACCAATAGAAAAAATAAAGTTCTGATCAAAGATCCTTATTTACCAATATAAAAAGATGTATAGTATAGGGATATAGAGTCGAGGATATAATGTATATATATACACTATACACACACATCCCACCCCTATACTAGCCCTTAGTACTTGTATTTCAGATATCTTTTTTTTGAGACCACAAAAAGCAGGTTTTAGCAGTGCCGTGTCTAATGAGTTGGAGACTCCCTCCCAAAAAAAAGCGTAAGACTCTTTACGGACTACCTTAAGAGAGGTACCCAAAAAAATGTCCGTCCTAAGTAAAGTTGTGCGATGTTGTGACAAGGGGGGGGGGGAATAATAGTCAAAAGTTGTGTGACGTAATTTATGGACGACCCCTTATGAGATTAATATTTGGCCAGGAAACAATAGAATTTCTAAAAAACGCGTATGGTTGTGGGATTGATATTCGGACAAACAAACATTTTGGTTTCATAAAAACGAATGCTATTAAAAAAATACTCAAGTAAATTCTTCTCAAGCAAATTTAGTTTTTACTAACGGTTAAGAAGCAATAGATTTTGAAACAGATAATGTTTTCAAATCTGCAAAAAATGTTTTACTTGATCTTTTCGACCCACATTTGCATTTTTAATTTAAAAAGTTTTAAATCCAACTTTTTTTTAATTAAAAATGTTTAATATTTAAAAATGAACCAAGTTCATTTTATAATAATATGGGAGGGGAAAAAAAAAATGTTTATATATATGCAAATAAAAGTTCAGGAACGCCGTTACGGTGTGTTGTAGAAAAAAGAACAATATATATATATATATATATATTGTTATATAAACATATATATATATATATATATATATATATATATATATATATATATATATATATATATATATATATATATATATATATATATATATATATATATATATATACATACATATATATTTATATATATATATATATATATATATATATATATATATATATATATATATATATATATATATATATATATATATATAAGGAGGGAAGGAAACGTGGGAACTTAATTCAACAATATAAAATCACACACGGAATTGAAAAGGTCAAATTCACCTCACAAGTTTCTGCGCCCTCAATCTCCGACTACAATCTACGCAGCCACAACCTTCGCCTAGATAAACAGCTTGTGACAAACTGCTCCAAACGA